TAGATTGTTTACCAGGCTAAAGAAAGCCTTGGCTCTTGGCTGTGGCTGAGGTTCCTCAGCTTCCTGGCTGTGGACTTCAGCTCAGTGGAGGGAGGCCTCTCTGCTGAGCAGGGCTTTGATGCTTGAATAGAAAGGATTAGCATTTGAAGCAAGGTTAGTTCTGAGGTGAGGAGAACCTGTTTGCTGGAAGTTAGTTTAGGTATTTGAAGACAATGTATCACTGTTTGGTTAAGGCTAATGCAGGCATTGGTGGGATGTGATGATTATCAAACTGTTTAAAAACAAATCCTAAAGGAGAAAAATTAAACTGCCTTTGTATTGCATGTCTACAGCAGGTATAATTTAACACTGTCAACTCAGTTCAAACAGACTGGGAATTTGGCTGCTTGTACAGTGTGGGCTGTTTTGTTGAAGTCCTAAGCAGTAATTTCTTATCTGAATAGAGCTATAGGGAATGGGATGAGGGTAAACAGGAAAAAGACATAATTACATTGGTTTAAATTCACACCACAGGTCACACCAAAAGATGTCCTTGTGTAAACAAGACTTGTGTTTGTCCATACAGCTGGGTTCAGCTGTGCCTATTGCTGACATCCATTGTCAGCAGCAGATCATTTTTGTAGTATAGCCAAGGCTTTAAAACAAAGACAATAATCAGTCTTGTTGCATAGCTCAGTAACAGAGATGTTATTATACTGATGGACAAAGCAAAGTGGTTTTTCAGCCCTGTGTAGCAAGAAGCAGCAAGAATATCTGTTGATGAAAGTATTTTTCTGTATTTTTGTTGCCAGCTGATAGAGATTTACGGTAAACCCATACCACACTTTCACAAGTCTTGAAATACTGTTTCCTTTCAAAAAATAGTAAGTAAAGAAAAAATTAAAATCAAAACACTTCAGCAAATCTTTTTAATTTAAAGTGTTGCCTGGAATCTAGGCATCAGAGGTACTGCTGGCTTTTTTTAATAGATGTTTTTATTTGTAGGTGTATTGTGGCACAAGTAACACATGTGTAGAAGTGAGTTTTCATACTGGGGAGACTCCTTTTTCTTTGGCATGTGTGCAGCTCTCAGGTGGGGAGGAGCAGAAGGCATACTGCCCAATGGAGGGAGAACACTCTGCAGCAGCATTATTTGTGGTGGTATTTGTAGAATGAATTTGCATTTTATTGTTGCTGTGGGAAAATTAAAAGCACAATGACAGGTTTTTAGTGTTTGCAGTGAGTAGATCCAGGGCTTTTTGTAGTACATGTGCTACATTGTGTATCACTTCTTCAAAACTACAGTTAGTTTGCCATATTAATGTGGAGACTGAACAAAAATAGAACAGTGTAGGCCCAGGATGCATAACTGAGGTTGCAGCAGGAATTGGAAAAAAAAGAAAATATCTTCCAATGGACTTTGTGGTTTGATCTACAAAATTCACTGTGGCCTTCTCCTATTACTACTCCTCTGGTATTAAAGTGGGGGACATTGCAACACAATGACAGACTGTAAAGTATTTAAAAATCATATCCAGGGAACGGGGAAAGCAGCATATTTAATAATTTTTATTTTTATTTTTTGATGGTTAACTGTCCCAACTGAAAAACAGACTTCAAAAAGTGTGAGATCTTGCTTTGTGTTTGAGCTGCATGGTTGTCAGACGTTGCATGTCTTGCAGAGACAAGCATTGACTCTGCAGCTCCTGATGTAGCTTCTGTCACTGAGAACTTGTGATGTACCTTTTCTTCTGAGAAGGTCCTTGCCCAGCCATTTCCTCAGTGTTATTGGTGCTGGAAATGCAGCAGTGGTTTCATGTGACTCAAGTGTGAAGCATCTGTGCAGTTTGGGGTATGATGAGAAGACATTTGAGAGGGATTGGTTTGGGCTATGGCGGCTTCTGCCTGTGAAAGTTTTGAATTGTATTGCTTGTGGTTTTATTTTTATATATGTACATATAGCAATTCAAACAGCTATACTTGAGCTTTCCACAGGAAAACGCCAAACAAACCATAATAAGCACTTAATGCAGGTTCTCTATGTATCCAGAAAGTCTTTCCCTCTGGCATCTCTACCATACCAACTCTTCATGATTTTTGTAGGAGTGTGGATGTGTTGAACACAGCCCAGATAACTTCTTGGGATATTTATTTACAGTGGAATGTTTTGGTTTTGTTTTCTTCCAGTTGAAGCACGACTTTCTGCAGATAATATCCTTTTCTCCAGATGCATTTTATTCTTTGAGTGTGAAGAATATTCTACTCAGCATTTTCCCACCCTTTATCAGCTTATCTCTGCAGTGATTCTCCAGTGAGTCAGGGAAACACAGTGCTTTATTAAGGAACTGTATCCTCTTTTGGAAAAGAAGTCTTTGCTTTTAATAAACAATAGCAAACTCAAGCATGCACTGTCTTGCTATGTTTAAGCCAATTGTAGACAATTGCAAGACTGATTTCAGAACAACATGATTTCAGAATTTCAATGTTCAACTTTGAAATAACTGGTGAAAATTGCTGGTGTACGAAAGCAAGTATTACAATGATGTTCTCCTTTGTTACTCTCCTTTGTTTTTCATCTTGTTGCTCTATTCTGTAGGAATTTGTTATAGAACAGTATTGAGCAATGAAAGGAGAAAAGTCTTATCCCTGCCTGTGAGAATAACTATGTGTGTTTATATGAGCCTTCTTCATAACAATTTGGGAGTTAATTCTTAGAGTACTGTTTGGTAACAGAAAGACTTTGATAAAATTACAGTTGATTCCAGAGCTAACATCTTTTAAAATATGGTTTTAACTTTTACAATTATCTCTCTAGTAGAAGTGTCATTGAATAGTTGTCAATTGCATCAATTTGCATTATTGAAAATATTAATTAAATGCTTTGAATGATAAAGCATTCCGTTTAAAAAGCAAGTCAATCAAAAAATAACCAGTTACATACAACCTGTAAAAACAAAATTACTTTTAACTAGATTTATTTCTCAGGGTTTGACAGTTTTAAGAAAGGATTTGTATCCTTTTCTGAGGCGACAGTAGAATTTGTGTATTTGATTTTGTTTGGCTGCATTATCACGATTCCCACTCAGAGTTACCATTTCTGGTTCTTGAGATATTTTTAGAGTAATGAGCCTTGCTTAGCACTGCTGAGTTGCTTATTGCTGTTCATATCACATTCCAAACAAGTAGTTGTTTGGAGATGGAGCAACGGTGTATACAAGCATTACACCTGAAATTAAACATTCCTCCTTTTTAATTTAACGAGTGTCAGCAGTTTTTCATCTTTTGTGTTTGCAGTGTGAACAGAACTGTACAGTACTGGGCATAAACAGACTGAATACCCAGCATTCAGAGATGACTGCTCAGTATAGCCTATGAATAATTCTTGTCTCATACTACAAGGGGAAGAAAAATACTAGCTACAGTAACAAAAGGACTGAACTAATTGAGTAACAAAAATTCAAGCGTGTTAATGGATGTGGGAGGACTGGATTATTAACGGTTGCGTTGGAGAAAAACACTGCACTGTCTGTTCCCCTTGAAGCTTATGGCTGTGTGTTTATAATAGCAACCACTTATCCTAAGGCCTGTGTAGCTCGCGTTGGAGAGGAAAAAAATTTCTGTGGCCTTCCTTTCAGTGGCAAGCTACTTTGCTTACCTCCTCAAAACCTGATGCCTCTAGTTTCAGAGCACTTTGTGGCAGGGACTTTATCTCTGCCCAGAAGGTTGAGTGCTGTGTCCTTCATCAGAGTTGAGAAGCTCTTATGTTGCTGGGCATTAATGAGTTTTTTGTGGGTTTTTTTGTTTGGTTGTTTTGTTTGGTTTGGTTTGGTTTGGTTTGGTTTTGTTTTTACCTCCAGAACCCCAGCCTAAAAGGCCACTGAAAAACAATAGCTGCTTTTAGCTTGAACAGCTGATGGGACACCATAACCATTTGAGCACTGTTGGTGTGGTCCCAGAAGTCTAAAACAGTGGTGAAGTTTTTTGCTTCTCTTCCTTTGGCTCAGCCATGCCTCTCCTTTTTCTGGCATTTGGCTCCCCTTCCTTGCCCACCATCCCCACTGCCATGCATTACTGTGTGGTGGTGATTTGCCATGTAGCATGTCTGTGATACCGCTTTGTGAAGGAACATTTTTAGTAGCGTTGGACAGAAAATACAAGCATTCAGTATTGCAGTCTTGGGTTTGTTTTTGATTTTGCTGGTAATGTTTTATTTATTTTTAGTAAAGTCTAGTAAATAAGTAAAACAGGGAGATGCAGTTCATGGAGGTGTACCCTAGAGATATGGAAAGGGGCAGTTTTACCATTACTTGAAGAACTTGCCTGTAGCTCTCTGTGGATTGATGCTAGCTATGCATATGTAATGCTAGGTGGTATGATTTTTTTTGCCTCTGTAAATTGTGTTAGTTTTACCTTCCTCCTTCTAGAAAACAATGTTAAGCCTCCAAATCTCACTTTGTTTTTGTCATCTTTTTTATCACTTTTGGACAGTCTTCTAATTCATTGAGAATAAATGAGTGCTTGGTGCTTTGCTGCTGGGTTATTTTTTCTCTTTAATAAGGTGTAAATGGGATAACACTTTTCTGTCATTTAATACCCATCTTGGATGTATGAAACCAAGACAGTGGTGATGACTGCTAGCCCCTCACTTCCACTCACTTGGAGGAGGCAGTGCTAAACTAAACCTCAAGGCAAATATTTTACTTATTTTTTTTTTCTGGTTATAAAGTATTGCACACCTTCAGAAATGTAATGTAAATGGATGAATTTCACATATTAATTTGATGAACCTTTGCTCTTTTCTCCCTACTAGCTGTCTGTGGGCCTGGTTTAAGTACTGAGGCCAAGAAAGAGATCATGGCATAACTTGCAGCAATTATATAAAGTGTGTTAGGTCAGCTGTATATGCCAACGCTGGCTTCTGCTGTGCTTAAAAAAAAGTGTATCTTGTGCTTATAGGGGTAAAGGCAATGTTCTTTTTTTTATTACTGTATTAATATATTGGTGTTGTATTTGACTTCCAGGTTGCATCACAACGCATCAGCTCAGTGGATCTTTCATGCTGCAGCCTGGAGCACCTGCCTGCCAACCTGTTTTATAGCCAAGACCTCACTCATCTCAATTTAAAGCAGAACTTCCTGAGGCTAAACCCCAGCCCATCTACAAGTAGAGCGCTTAGTGAATTACAAAGGTAAAGTGGTCTGGTTCTACTACTTTTCCTCTGTCCTTGGAGCCATGATCTGCAGGAACTTTCCTAAAAATTACTACCTCCTCTTGTGGAACATTGGCCTGACTGTAACGATTCAGAAATTAACTTTGTGTGTTAGAAACAGACTGGCCTTCATAAAAAGCTTCATGTTTTTCTTGTAAACAGAAGGATATTTTCAGCCCAAAATGCAATTTTCATAATGTGTTTTTATCTACCTACTGAGGCCAGACTGTAGTTCTTCAGCCTTTGACTCGTGTGAGTGAGTATGAGTTGGTGAGCTGCCCATCGAAGGCAGCCATTCTAGGTAGGAACAGTATTGCATGTGACCAAGTGAAGAAGCTTTTTGTTAACTTTCCTGCCCCAAGCAAGGAAAGCCCTGATTTCTTGAATTCAGTCTCGTTCCTGTCCTCTTTCTACTCTGCCCAGTCCTAATTCTTCTTTCTTAGTATCTGTGACCTTTGAGTTCTTTCCGCTGCAGCTCATCTGAGAATGTAACAAATGGGTAGACAGCAGCATGATTGGTGCTCTGAATGATTTAATGTATGTCTTCTGTGGAATCAGCAGGCTTTCTGTGTTCACGAAGATGAATGTTCCCATACTGAATATAAAGCTGTGATTTTAATTTCACTGGTAACTGAATTGCAGAGTACCTCAGGATTATATTTGTGGATGGTCCTGTTCAAACAAAATGTTTTAAACCACATTTCTAAATCCCTTCCTCTTTGAAAAACAACTGAAAAATGCAAGATGGATTATGCGGGCTGTTGTATTTTTATATCATTCCAATTTCATTTTGGAAAAACAAAAAATTTGGCATAATGAAAGATGAATGAACCCAGCAAGTCTGCCTCACAAACAAAGCAGGCAGCTATTCCAAGACCTTATGAGCACAGTCTGGAGAAGAATTCTGACTGGACTGTGAATGTCACTATAGGTCTTCAGATAGCAAGTAGAATTTTAGCATAAGCTAATGATAAACATGGATAAATAATCAGTGTCTCTTATTTTAATGACTTCTTATAATTTTTCATTTTTAAATATCAGAAAGTGTAAAGGAGATACTTGATTATGCTTTGTTCATGTACCTGCAGCCAATTGTTTGGAATGGACTTGGATTTGTCCATGTACTTGCAACTAATTTTGTTTGGGATTAGAAAGCATTGATAATTAATATGATGGGCAATGTTCATTTTCTGTTCAGTGTTCTTTTGGTATTGCAGTTGTAGGAACAGCTGATGAGTCTTGCTGAGAGTTAATAAACTGTTACATTTTTTCTCTCTAACTTGAGCCTGGACATAAAAGATTGAAAGAGTTCAGGTGGCAAAATATAACTCTCATGTTTCCTGAGATTCTTCTGAGATAAGGAGAATCTGGAGAAGTGGCCTGTACCTGAGGTGGTGCAAAACTGATTGTCTCTCATTCTTCTGTGAGCTGGTCCTATTCTGTAAATGAGTTTGCTGTGCTTCCATTGCTTTGAGCTTGGCAAAAAGGTATGAGGCAGGTCTGGGAACTTCTGGAGGAAAAAACCAATTAGATTACACAGCACTGTTTTGGTGTATCCGAGTTGGTGCATCAGAAGCTCCTGCCCTTGATGTTTCCCTTTGTCTGCTTGATGTCCTTCAGCCTTACCTTCACCCAGCAAAGGTGGCATTGCCCAGACAGTGAGCAGTTGGAGGAAGCTGTTGCCACTGTTTCCATTGAGTGCCAGTGGGAAGAGCTCTGTGAAGTAGCAGTAGTTCCTGCTGAGGGCTAGGAAAACCAATGCCCTGTTGGTTGTCTTTTGCCTCCCTACTACAGCAAAAGCATGAGCTGACCCTCACTGTATTCCCAAGCCGTTCTCTAGTGAGTAAATGCACAAATATCTAGAAAGAGGAGAGCACCGTATGTTTTGAAGTTATTAGTGAAACCCAGTATCAAAACATATGTAAAGTGAATCTTGTCATTCCTATGAGCACATTATCTGATTTATTTTTTTTAAAACCAGTTCCATATAACCATTTATAGGGGTTGCACAAGGTAAAACTTCACTGAATAAACCAAAAGTCTTTTTTTGTTCACCAGCATTCTTTCAAATCACAAGAAAGCAAGTACAGAATTTCTGCTGTTCTGATTTGGTACTGTTGGCTTTTCTACCAAATTCTCAGTTGCTAAATTGGAGCTGCACATGAGGCACAGCACCACTGAATCAAGCCTACAGGTATTTAAAGCTCCAAAATAGCCATGTGCTTGGATGTTGTGAACAAAACACATTGGCATTTATATACTTACTCTTCCTGGTACAATTTTAAAGTAAAACCTTGTTAGTAAGACAGTCAAGGAAAATTTGTCTTGCTATAAACAGTTCTTGGAGCTACAGTTCCTCTTAATAAATAATAATAATAAACTTAATTATAATAGCCTAATTATAATAAACTTAATAATTAATAAAGTTTGGGTGGTAATTTAATGAATTGGATTTCATAACAAGTGTGTCAAAGACACAATAAAATACCAACTTTTCAGCCACCCACTGAGTAGAGTTGCAAGCAGGTGGGTCACAGTAATGACATTGATTACTAGTGCACTGACATGGCAGGTACAGCCAGAATGTATTGGGGATAAAAGGAATTTCTATTTCTGTTTATGTAGCTGCTTCTTTCAGTTGTTAAAATAATATAATTTGCTGCATTTATGAATAAAATGTTTAGTCCTAGTCAGTACATGGCATCTGAAAGTGTACAGAGGTATAGATGCACTTTTTTCCCCAGTACCTGCCCTTTTATTTGCTTTACTGCCCACTCAACCCCCTTTTGTTGCTGTAGACGCTCTGCAGATGTGAACTTCCATAACTGAACTCTCTGAATATTGAAAGGTAAATACAGCTACCTCTATTTTTTTCCTACTTATCAGGGAATACATATTTCATGCTATGTATACAAATAAGCCATCTGAAAATTCATTTGTGCTGAAAAAAGTAGCAAATGATGCTACTTGTTCTCCCTCACAGAATATTTTTTAAAACTACAAGAAAGGATGTTTCTCTTTTGGAGGAGATGGTTGAAATGCTAACAAGAGTTCAGGCTTGCTAATTTTGTGGAGTACTGTTGTTCTGAGTTTGAGGCAAAAGAATAGACAGTAGTCTTTATTTACTGTTGCTCTGCTTCACTGGACTGAGAGCACTTTATATTTAAAAGTAATTGTTTCAGTTGGTGCTGTTAGAAAAAGTGGTTGGCGTCAAGAGTATTATTTTCTTGTTAATGTTGAATAGTAAGTTATCAGTATGTGGATTTTTAAGTTAAGACTGTTTCAGATTTAAAAGAAAAAAAAAAGAAGAAAAGGGAGATGTAGTAAGACACAAAGTTGTTTTAAAAAATAAAAAATTATGCTTGTCAGTTTAATCTAAAGAATGAAGTAATTTTTAACAGTGATTATATGGGTTTTTATCTTAGGAAGAGTTGGTATTGTTTCTCTCCTAGAACTGTTATAGAAATGAACTGCCTTCTCAGGTGAAACTCTTTGGTGCTAGTGGCAGAAATTTGAAGATGCATTTCTAGGTTATAAGAAGGCTGGAGCACTCTGAATTACTGATGAAAGTGTTTTTGAAGTCCCTTGAAACTTCCAATTTTTATCTGAAAACCCAGGATTTCAGGCAACTTCAAGCTAAATCCTCCTTACAAATTCATTGTGCAATAAGGAGGTAATTTAAAATGCAATCGTTATTCAGAGAACACTTGGAAGCAAGGGGGAACCAGTATGGCCAACCTAACTGGTATGAACCCAGCAGGCAAGGTTGCTGGAGGTCAATGTGATATGCAGCTTGATCTTAGCTTGTACCTAGAAACTGAGGAGCAGGGAGGAAGGTCTCCAGCCTGCCACTTGTTTGACCTCAAAGTACATTGAGGGTACTTCTTGTGGTTATTGCTATTAGTGAATGAAACTGAGGTTAGTGGAGACAGTTGGATGGTTTAATGAATGTCAATTATACATCTTCCCCTTTGTCAGGCCCCACAGGGACACTGCCAGTAGATGCACTGGAAAAGATTTGATCTTTCTCCTTTTTTTCCGCCCCCCCCACCTTTATTTTGGGAGTGTATGTTTGGGTTTAGAAGTTGCCTTTTTTTCTTTGTTTTCTTGTTGTTGTTTATGGAGTTTATTTTTTGTTGTTTTGATTTGATTTGGGATTTATTTTTTTTTGGTTAGTGGTTTGGGTTTAGTTTTGGGGTCTTTTTTAATATTCAAATGAATCCTAATATGTGGAACACGCTAGTATTTCTTGCTCCACGGTGTGTGAAGATGCGGGTAGCTTGCTCTTGCAACTCTGTTGGTCTTGGAGAGGAGGTAACCTTACTTTTTATACAGTTTCTCCTCTTTCACTTGAAGTCAAACACTGAAGTGCAGCTATCTGAGCAGCAGGGCAAGAGGAAAGGTTTGTGTGGTATTGATAACCAGAGGTGTACTAGTAACAAACCCTAACCAGTGCTTGCTATATTTTAATGCTCCACTTATTTTCTCATCTCTGTAGCTTTGGAATTTTTTTTTTTAAATATTTATAATGTTGAAGATGGCACTTGGAATTTGTTGTTTATGTAATTTCACTGCTTTTGTTTTATCCATTTTGTAAAGGTATTGAAGAAAGAGTTTGCTTGTGTTAGTGCATCTTTCCAAACCTTCATAACTGTTCTCCTTAACTCCTGTGTATCTTTGCAATCTCAAGAAAGTGCCCTTGTGAACACCCAGCAAAAATCAGTGGCATTTAGTTAAAGAAAAAATTAATTTATAAAATTAAGTCTCTGCAAACAACTAAGTGGGGACAATTGAAAAATTGGTTTAATGCCTGAAACACATTGATTTTTTTATTTTATTTTTTTATTTTATTTTTTAAATTGGAACAGTTAACTTAATAGTAGCACGAGAAAAATAAATGGCACTAAGATATATGCAATAAAAATAGCATCTTTAAAAATAGTATAGTCTAAAAGTAGAAATTGCAGTTGGATTAATTG